ATGATTGTGGGGATGAGCCAGGATTTAGGGCATTTGTCAAGGAGGGGAATTTGGAATTCTTTGGCGGGTTTTGTGACGAAAATTTGTGAAGTTTTGTTATTTTTGTAAATTATTGAAACTTTGGGGAGCCTTTGTTTGTTGTCGGTGAGGACTAATTTTACATAAAATTTTTTTATACTTTTATTTTATATATATATATTTCTTTTATTTTTTTTAATTAATTAAATTTTTTTATTTAAAATTTATATTTTAAAAATAATATTTTATTTTTAAAATCTTCAATAATAAAAAATTAATATAATAGAATATATAATATATAACTGTATTAATAATAAAGTAAATAATACAAAGTATGTTATACAATAGTATAAACAAGCCAATAGAAAAAACAAAACCATAGAAATACAATTATTTAAACTTTATCTTTTTAAAATATCTGAAACTTGAAATATTTTGAGTTTATAATTTTTTATTATATTTAAGACATGTAATATATACAAATAATATATAATATATAGTATATAACATATAATGTTTAATTTTAAAAAATATTTAATATATAATATTATAATAATATAAGTTAAATACCAACAGTTTTATATTGTTTCACTTTTAATTTTTTAATATTATTATGAAATTATAAAAGTATTAAGATAATTATGATAAAATATTGACCTGTAAATCAATAGTATAGTGAATAGTGAATAGTACTTTCAGATCTTCAAACATATATTCCTAGTTTAATATTAATAGGAAACAAAAAATATATTTATTTTTATATATAGGTTTATTGAATATTTTATATATGTTATACTCAAGAATCCTTAATTATATTTAAATTTGATTAAGCTGTATAAAAATGAAGCTTCTGGTTTTTTCAACAATTATAAGTTAAAAACAGATTAAAATATTAAGAATTGTATAAGAAAAAATTTCTAATTCAACTTTGTCAATAAGTTTACAAAACTCTAATTCAAATTGGCAATAACAAATTCCATTTCACAACCTAAAGAAATTAATCCTAAGTTGATTTATTCCAATCTGAAGCTTAAAGATCTATCTCAAAAGTGATGTTTTTTTAAACTTAAATAAACCAAAAGAATAAAATTTATTTGTCACAAGTTTAACAATATACATAGATAAAAATTATTAAGATCAATTGAACCTAGTAAGAATTTTCAAGTGTAAATCAGAATCTAAGTAAGAATGCCAGTTTCACAGATGGTAAAAACAGTAATGTAATATTACATTAATGGCATATCCTGAGAATCATTTTGATAATAGGTAATTGGAATGACTAGGTTAATCTTTATAATAATACTTCATGCAATCTTTCTCTAGTAGACAGCTGAAAAATACTGTATAATTGAACCAATAGAAAGAGTAGGTTTAAACTAATGTTAGTATTTCCTCCCTCCTGTATAAGTTTCACCTGAATATGGACCCATCTATGTGATGTAAATTGGCTAACCAGGGTATCAATGACAAGTGAATCTGTCCAGTTAATACAAAAGAATAATAAAAGTTGCTGAGAAGAGTTGATTCTGATGGTACCTACCTACAGAAATAGGTAGTAAAAATGTTTGCAAATGGATTACAGGATAGGGATGGCGTTGGTACCTGTCCTTAGGACTGCAACAATGTAAACAACTAAAGAAAGTTATTCATACATAAGGAAGAGAGGTCACGTCATGACAAGGAAACCACCTGCTGATGATAATGTCGATGGCACCATAATGAACCGAACGATTGTTGTGAGTATCAACATAATATACATGATCCTAACCGCGTTACCTCACTTTTTGCTTCCCTCTTACAAGTGTTTTACTATTTGTGTATTTTTTGTAACTTCAGGATTGGTAAGATTGATAAAATTCATTAAAGTTTCTTTAAAACATAAAGGGGTTGAAATATAATAATTACCTTTGAGTTTTTAAAGTAAAAAAGACAACAATTTTGGTGATCCAGGAATTCCTAGCTGATACGAGTTTCGTTTAATAAACCCAACTGCCAAAATTTTCGTTACACTATGTGTGAATGATACAAAGTTCGAATTTGAAAAAAAATTTCTAATCCACAGTAACCGCAGTTCAATGATAGCTGTTGTAAATGTTATACAATATTGTCATCGTTGTAAATGAAACACGGAGAATTTAAGTTACAATAATGGTCTAACTCTATAAATTCTAGTGCATCACTCTTTGCTATCCAAACCAAAGACAGTTAATACATTCTCTAATTTTGTGATGGAAGTTAAATGTTTCAGAATTATGTAATGTGCATTTTGAACAAGACGATCAAAACGTGTACTCTAAAATTGAAGTATGCATAACAAATTTGAATATAAAGTACCATACTCTCAACTATGAATATAATTCTTCGACCAAGAATTTAATCCTGTGTTTTCAGTTACATTCCATTCTTGCACGTACTATGATCGGCAATCCCTCGCTGTTTATTCTTATTTTTTTTTTCTTTACAAGCGTTCGGGCTTATACAACGAAAGTGTATGATGACCCTGACAAGCTTCTTTTTATATCATCGATCTCCGACGTTAAGTATGGCTTTACATATCTAGATGGCACAGGATTGATGCAATTAATTCGTCAGGATGGAAACAATACTGACAATAATCTGTATGTACGTCTGTTAAATCTAAACGGCACGTTGACGAAATTTACTGTACCGTTAGTATGTGATGCTGCTTCCTTTTGCTTACAGCGTGCTTATCCACTTAATAATGGATATGTGTTGGTAACGCTGGCGAGCGCTAACAAAAGTGTTGTTGGAACGTTAGTCGATTGGAGTGGGCGGGTGTTACAAAGGTAGGGGTTACTTGGCAATGAAAAGTGAATGGTCAATAGATGAACCATTTTATTAAAAAAAATGTATTTTTTGCATATAGTAATGTAATGCTTACTGATGTTCCTGTCGACGGTGGATCTCCACCGCTTGCAAAAACAAATGTCAACGCAGATAAAGATTTTCTTGTGGCGACTCGTAATAAGAATGTGATTTTATGGAAAATTTTTAGCGCACCGTGTGTATAAACATTAAATTTTGGAAAGCTTACCGAAAGGAAGTCCATTTGATTTAAATTCCCTGTTTTTAAAAAAATAGCAATAGCACGGGTAAAACAACCCAATTGTACGAAGGCAGCATCACAGGAGATGACTACAACATTCTCGTTGATCACGAAATCTTTTCTACTACAGAAGGCGGTTATGGCATAGCCCTTTTAAAACACATACCAAAATTCACTGATGATCCACGCAATTCCAAAGTATTCTATGCTTATCCACAATGGCTCTTGTATGTTACATTCTGGCAACCCGGTGCTCAACAATTTGACACCCCTCGTCTAGTTTGGCAGAACCCCAACCCAATCCCGAATAATCGCTTTGTGATAAACGGGTGCGCGGTGGCTGTTGACGGAACAGGATATTTTTGCATCGTAAAAATCCCTTCCGAAGATGCTTATGATAACGTGAAAGTGTCATTCCTGTCTACCGGTTCAGTAACTAATGTCAATGTTATAGTGAATGGCACTGCCAATGGTACAACTGTGAAGGAAATATTTGGAATACGGCAGATGCCATATGGCGGATTTCTGGTGGTAGAAGTCGACGTGGGTGCTTATACCGGCTCACCTTATTCCGTATCTGTCAGAAATAATGATGGATCTATTATACAGACCTTTAAGTTGCCAGACGCAGGCGTTGGTGACTTTGCAGTATTTCCGAATAACACTATGTGGACTGGAAGTCGGGGGTCGTCAAACACATCAGTAGCTTTTGTACCCCTTCCTAAACTATTGCAAGAAGGTGAGTAACTATTACGATTTATATTATTATTCTGTGCTGTGCGAATGTTATTTATGATGATCACACTTATAATCGACATATTCTTTCCAGATGCAGGATTCAAAAATCTTCTTGTTGATTCATCAGTTCCGCCATCAGGTTCATTCGTCTCTTCAGATACTACAAATATAACATTGATATTCAGGAAACAAGTCGCTCTTTCGACACAAAATATTTCAATTTACCAAGAGACAGACAGCGATCCTATTTTCAGACAAGGTTTCAGTGCGGAATCTGGTTTCTGTTCTGTTACATTAAATGAAACGGCGGTAACATGCAAAATATTTAAGAGTACTTTCAATCAACCTGATGCTACATATGATGTTGTTGTGGATAATAATTTCGTAATGCTCAAGAGTTTGAACCAGCCACTTACCGGAGTGACGAAGGGCAATTGGGTATACCATGGAGGTATGTAGTAGTAATTGTTCTCTTAGTTATTGGATATTCACTTGCTTACTGGAAATCTTGTATTTATTAGCCTCAACTGAAAGAAAATATACAGGCAAAGCACCAAATGTGATTTATAAAAGTGTACAAGCACACCGACTGATGGTTTTATTCCTTCTATACATGTAAATAGACACCACGACAGGTCTTTTAAGGCTGACACCTGAAGGAACGAGTTTATTTGAACAATTGTCTACCGATGATAGGAACTCTTTCTTGGACTCTATGGTTACAAAGCTCACTGAGCTTGTCCCCATTAATCCGTCACGTATAACCACCAACAGACGAAACCAACCTGACCCTAATGCACCGACTCATCAGACATTGTTTCCAGTCACTCTCGGGGCGACGGACGATAAGTCACAGAGAACGGTACAGCAGATTATTGATGATCTCGACGAATTAATTAAGAATAAAGGTTATAATTCGTTTTCGCGGGAGTATCCTACTAGCTATCTGGATGAAACGTATGTGTTTTCACCTTCTGGTATGTAAACTGCAAAGTTTAAGCTTCTCGTCGTTATTCTAAAAATATTATAACAAATGAAATTGATACATATCAATGAACCTTCCTAGTCAATTTGTGGGATGCTTACAAATTTCAACTACTTGCCTTTTTTGTTGGTCTATGGGTATTAGCAATAATATACTTTTTGGCAAGACGAAAGTACCCAGAGGTGAGTTGTCCTGTATAGGTTAATATTCATACTGTTGTTTGTTAAAATATTACTCTTTTTAATACGCGAAATCACCCTACTAGGGTCAAAATTTCATGATCGTGAAGCTTACAATAATACTTGTAGATTTGAGTCTCGACATAGCATTTGTACTCTTAAGTGCAAAAAACGTTCCGCAAATATATACACCAAGGTACTATCATGTAGTTTACGATTATTGCGAGTATGATTAAATTAAATTAGTTATTTATGTAATGCATTTGTTCTATTTCAGTATAATATTTTTAGTAGTTCCTATTGCCTTCAATTCTAGTCTTGCATTTTCAATATTAATGAAGGAAATAAGTAAAAATGTGAAATTTCAGGAATGGTTTAGTAAGAATGTAAGAGTTGCCTCAGTGTCTACGCTATTAGCCGGTGCCGATGTTGAGGTTATTACATTAATCGGATCCAAATTTGCTGGTTTGAAAATGTTTTCTGCACCTTTGTCAAAGATTGCACTGAATCAGGTTTTCTGGGTTAGCACATTAAATTTGGTTATTGAAGATATTCCTCAGTTGATTATTCAGGTAATGTGAAGAGTTAGTGCCGCTAATCGGAATGATGTAAATTCTCATATGCTGACTATCAAATCTGTTGTCCACTGTAGATACTGTATAGAGATCTAACAGTCTCATATGATATCATTCCACTTTTGTCATTAGTAATGAGCTCCATCGTCTTGACGTCTAATATTGTTGGACGTGTTTATGATGGATGTATAAGATGGAAAGAAAGGAAGCGAAGACACAGTATACCAAAAGATGAAATGCTTGTCACTTCTGATGTACAAGAGGATGAATAAGATATATAGTGTTACTGGTCATATAGAACAATGTAATTACTTTTCCAAGAATAGACATTTGACTGATAGCTGTATGTTTCACGGTGCTCTCGAAACACTACCTTCAAATCTTCACTACTGTATGCGAAGTCTATTAAGCAGCGGTCGTCATTTGTTTATAACTGTATAGATGTACATTTAAACATAAATTAAATTAGCTTTCATATTTTTACCCAAAACCATATCGAGGAATATTGCTCACATTAAAAGCGAAGATTTTCGATATAACTAAATTCTCCCTTGGGTCAATGTAAAGTTGTGTTCATTAGTAGTCAGCATCAAAATCCAGTATTTACGAATAAATGTGTAGGTATAGATGGTCCAAGAAAACTATCCACAAACTTTACAAGATCAGAATTTCAATACGCCCTGAAATTGAATGAGTAGAATTTGCTTGTCTTTTTATATGTTCATATTATATCAATTCCATACATAAAAAAATTATGCGCGTTCCAAACAGAACGCCAATTCATTTTTTGACAAAAATTTGGTGTACTGCTACATAGTAAATCCCAAGTTTATTTTGGAATACAGCGATCCTGGACATTATGATCATTATGTGTCACCATTAATCTCTTTTTCTTGTCTTGTCCTTTCGCTACCGGTATTATGTGCATTCCATAGTTTTAGTTTCACAAGTCCTGCTATCTTCTTTAACCGTTGACAGGATATTGATCTGAAATGACAAGCAGTGCTATGCAAGTTTGGCGAAAACATAATCTAGATAAGGTTACTGCTGTAAAAGTCAGAATTCGCTTGATCTTATCAACTCCAATCTCGCCGAATTAATCACAATCTTTAAGGCCTGCATTTTGTTTTTTGAAACAATCCTGACTAATCGATAGATGCTTAAAAACTAACCTCATCATTAACTGATTCTTGAGTCATGTTTAGAATTTTTTTTCTGTAAGGATTGAACCATTCATCAAGTGCTTTTTCGAAATAGTAATACTGCATTAAAGAATTGCATCTTATATTATTTTTTACTAATTTCATTAAAATGATTATATTTGAATAAACATTTACTATTTCATTTCAAAGAGGAGTTTCTTATCAAATAGTATTTCTGTGTCTACCAATTACAATTTGATAAATAAATCCGGCTACAGCTACATATTTATAAATAGCTTTTGATATCACCTTATCTTAGGACATTTATTAAAATAATCTGTTACATGAATAATATATTTGTTACCTTGTTTGGTAACAAGTGAAGATTATACAATGTTTATATTAATTTTATAGTAATTTTTTAATAAAATGAAATGAAAGATTTTAATGTTAAATATATTTCATATTTTTGATATGGTTTACATAATTGGTAATATCAATTACAAAATCTTTCAAGGATTTGTTTATTTTAAATAAGCATAGATTAAATAATAATGTATTAAATAAATAAATATTTTGATTTTAATAGCTTTAAACAACTAATTTTTATATTTTTTCTTATATAATCAGTTGTTTTTTATTTATAAAATTATTATTTTATAATTGCAATTGTTTTTATTAATTAGCATTCAAAGTTTATATCATTGAAATTTGAAATGTTAAATTACGAATCACTTAAATTGAACTTTAATTAATATTAAAATTTTTATTGGTTTTTTTTCAAAAAATAATTAATAATAAATGTTGAATTTTAATTTTAATATTAACAAAATAAATAAATAATATATTTATATATAATAGATCAAGTAAATATTATAATTATTTTTGTTAATTATTATCAATTTAAATAAAAATAAATATACATATAACTAATATAGTTTATTATTAATTAAAATAATATTCATTTTTTATAATAAATATATATATAAACTATAAAATAATATATTATATTGGATTTTATAAATTTTATTAAATATAAATCAAAATAAAAAATACAATGTCTGATTATTATTACTAATATCAAATAAATTAGTTTAATTTACTTGTAAAAGTAATATCAAGTTTTTAAGAAAAAAACTTGAATTTAATATTTATGGTTTGTTTATTTATATTTTATAATTTTTTATTAAATATAATTACTTGTTTATTTTTTAATAATTTTAAAACTAAATTTAAAATTATAGTAATAAACTGTAAATAATAAATTGGAGTTTTTCTAAAAAGAAAAAACAAAAAACAATTTTATTTATCTTCAAAATTTTATTTAAAGATTAATTACCTAAAACAAATATTTAAGTAGGTAATTAGTTTTTTTTTAAAAAATTAAATAAGCATAATAAATACTTGTTTAATTATAAAAAAAAATTAAACTAATTGAAAAATTTTTTTAAATTATAAGTAAATATTAAATACAAGATTTTTTATCAAATAAAAATCAATAGTCAAATTTTATAATAATATATTATATAATATTTAAATAAATTTATTTTATATTATTTAATTTAATTTTTTTTTTTTGTAAATAAGTATAAAATACGAGACTTTATTTACTAAATAATAGTACTGTCATTATATTAAGCATCCATTAAAGTTAATACTAGTCTAAAACTCTCTCCTGATCGCGTCCGTTTTGTTAAAAATTTTCCTTTTATGGTAATTTTAAGCAAGAAAAAATGTT